CGCCGTGCCGCGCATGCCCCTTCCTTTCTAGCTCGGGCCCGGGACACAGCAGCTGTCGCGGTGAGTTCCCGTGGAGCGCGGGCTCCATCGGCCTCCATCCTGGCCCTCTCGCCGCCGCAGTCGCTGCGCTTCCCCGTGGTTGGGGCGAGGGGACCCCTCTCCCACTGCGCGCTCGCTCATTTCTGAGTAGAGAGAGGCCGGGGGCGCACGCCGGGGGCTAGTGGGGCGCTGTTGGCGAAGATCGGCGCCCCGATGGCGGAGGGCCGAGGAGGGAAGGATGAAGCCCTGGCGTGGCGGTGTCTGGGCGAGGCTAGGAGGACTGTGCCCCGCTTGCCCACTCTTCACCCCGGTTGCCTCTTTGGCCCTGGGGCTCTCGTTTGCGGGGAGAGGGGTAGGAAATGAGGGTGCGAAGGCCCTGGCCCTTTTGCTGCGGGTCGACGGACCGTCGTGAGAAGAGACGTCCCGGGCCACCCCTTGCCCGCCTCGCCGCGCGCACCGTGGCACCGGTGTTGATGGTCCCGGATACTCAGAGAACGCGGGCCTGCGCCCCCGTTATTCCTTTACGGCTGTGGGTGGAAGTTTGAAGCGGGTGTGCGCCCCCGTGTTGTTTTAATGCCTTGGTAACTTCCTTCTCACCTGCAGTGTTTTCGGGGCTGGAGGTGGGAGCTGGTAACTGGCCGGTGTCAGTCTACAGAGTTTGAATCCCTCCTGCCCGCACGTGTTTTGTTTTGTTTTTTTAAACTGAAAACCTTTGTTGTTCCTCCACGGGCACCAGTGGGCCCAGCCTCCAGTCCCCTTGGCAAGGTCCCTGCCCACAGACCACTGCCTGGGCCCAACCAGGCCACGGTGCCGCCTACAGGTTGCCCAGCTGGCTCCCAGCCCAAGGGGCAGGGCTCCTGATTGGGGGGCCGTCTCGCTGTCAGCCCTCATCACCGGGGCCTCGGGCCCGCTTCCTGCACGTTTTGTGTTTGAGATTTCAGTCCATGGGACGGTGGTTTCGTGGGTCTTGAACTCGGTTCCTGACCCCCTCCCTGGCCCTATTGCTTAGAGATGCTCTCGCTTTCTCCCCGTAGATGTTGATGCCCAAGAAGAACCGGATCGCCATTTACGAGCTCCTCTTCAAGGAGGGGGTGATGGTGGCCAAGAAGGACGTGCACATGCCCAAGCACCCCGAGCTGGCGGACAAGAACGTGCCCAACCTCCACGTCATGAAGGCCATGCAGGTAGCCGGCCGGGCGCAGCCGGAGTGGGTGCCGATGGAGGGGTTTTCGGCGGCTGCCCAAGGCCAATGCCAAGGAGGTCAGGACAGCCCGCGCTGCTGGCTGCCTTGACGGGCCGTGAGGTAGATGCCCCTGAACCCCCGCCTGCGCAGCCAGCTCCCCGTGCACCGCGTTCCTAGCGCCAAGCCTCCGGTTAGGTCTCAGCCGCCGTTTTCTGTCTTGCAGTCTCTCAAGTCCCGGGGCTACGTGAAGGAACAGTTTGCCTGGAGACACTTCTACTGGTACCTCACCAACGAGGGCATCCAGTATCTCCGCGATTACCTGCACCTGCCCCCGGAGATCGTGCCCGCCACCTTGCGCCGCAGCCGCCCTGAGACTGGCCGCCCAAGGCCCAAAGGTACGGTGCCCACATAAGTGCCTCCGACGGCCTGCTCTGCACCAGCTCTTCAAGGGAGCGGTACATGGGAGGGGGGCGTTGTGGGGCACACAGGAGTGGTCTTATAATTGGCCATGGGCGCCAGCTGTAGAGGGCTCTGGCTTGCAGGTCAAGTCCTGAGACCTCTGTCCCCTCGGAGGAGACCGGTAATGGATCTGGACTCAGGCCCTCAGGTTATCCCAGGAGACGGCACTCACAGAATATTACTCTGTGACCAGACCTGTGTGGTAGAGCATTGAGTAACTTTTTGGGAAAATCACGGTGTGAGAGTTTCAGCTTCCATGTGTGGATGTGGGGTGGGGGGCGGATTATCTACTGGCTCATAGTCATGTTTTTCCTTGGGTTCTGAAGAATTTGTCATAAGAACTTTGTAAGCTTGGGTGATGAGGTGGGACGGAGATCGATACAGCGATGGCCGTGGCTTCCAGGTTCCACTGGAGAGACTCCATGGAGCTCAGGAAACTTTGTTTTCCAAATGCTCCCAAGGGGCTTCTGTTGGTTGAGTGGGTTGTGCATCTAGAGCAGAAGTCTACACTGCACCTAGGAGCCCGTTGTCTGCCCCACAGAATTATTTGGTGGGCCTGTGCGTGACCTGGCATTTATTTTAGCCACTCACTTCAGGTTCAGTTTTATTTCTTGTACATTAAAGAATGGTTTGCCTGGGCTGATGTGACTCAACGGTTAGAGCGTTGGCTTGAGCACGGAAGGGTCATGGATTCAATTACTGGTTAAGGGCACATGCCCCTTCTCCCCCCCGACCCCCCAGCAAAAAAAAAGGTGTTTTAACTATATGGACTCTAAGGTAATGGGGTAGAGAGAATACTAAATTAAACTTCAGTGTTTTTAAGGTACCTTTTAAAATCTGTCTTAATGTATCCACAGCGTGAAGGATGGGTGGAGAAGGGGCAAGGGGCAGGCGGGGACCGAAGGATTCTTGCTGGCCTTTGTATATACTTCCTAGTGGAGGTGGGGCTTTCATCTGTGATGCCTCCTCTGTACAGAGAGTTTTCCACTTAAGAGCTGGATCAAGTTCAAAATTTTAGCTATTGGAATGTTTGTAGAAATAGCTGAATTTCTGAGTTTGCCAAGTAATTGGAAAGTGTGCGTTATATTGAAAAATACAATAGAAGAAAGCAATCCTTTTGCAGATGTGTGGCATTTTAATTAAGATGTGAGTTTTCCCAGGCCTTCGAGGAGCCACAATGTCAATGACAAGTTTTTCTAGCTGGCAGTCTGGGTGTAGGAGTTCCTATTCCCATTAACTCCTTAAAATACTAAGATGTTTTCCGGTGAGAAGCGGAGAGCAATTCCAGATTTCTTGGCCTGAAGAGAACCCATCGCCCATGTTCACCGTGTGGTTTACTTGTGTAGGTCTGGAGGGCGAGCGACCTGCAAGGCTCACACGAGGGGAAGCCGACAGAGACACCTACAGACGGAGTGCTGTGCCCCGTGAGTAACGGTCGTCTGTGCGGGGGAGTGAGGGTGGAATCTGGATTCTCCGTCAGCTCTGACTGGGGTCCTTTGTAGTTCTTGCCTTATGCAGGCGTGTGATGGGTGGGGACTGGGGGAAACACCCTTTGACCTAGGGACAGACTTAGGTTGAAGTCCTTTAACGAGAGCAAACTGAAAACTTTCAGGAGAGCAACATGGTTTTATTTTGTGGTTGGGTTCCTGTGTTGTAAGCTCTTTGAAGGTAGGGTCCACTCAAATTTGTTGTTTTTTTATTGCAAAAATAGTGTAAAATCTTGTTTTGTTATATTTTAAATATTCATTTATTAAATTAATTGGGGTGACAGTGGTCAAAATGAACATACAGGTTTCAGGTGTGGGTTTTTATGTTACAAGAAATGTATATTGCACCGTGTACCCATCACCCAAAGTCACATCTTCTGACACTTTATATTAGGACCCCCTTCTGTAAAATCTTGCTTTAAATAGCAAATATTAGCATTGACTTGGAACAACAGATGTTTGTTCATTCAGCAAATATATATTGAGTGCCTGTGGTGTGCTGGGCACTGTCCTAGGAGCTGAGGAGACAGTAGTGTACATAACATTAAAAGGCCCCTCTCTCATTGAACTTGCATTTTAGTGATAGGAGATGGATAAGCAAAAATAAGTAACATAATATGTCCCAAAGATGTGGATGCTACAGGAAAATTAAAGTGTGTGTGTAATTTTCAGTAATATTGCAGAAGTGAGATTTAAGCAAACACCTGATGGAGCAGGAGGGGAGCCAGCCAGTGGTTACCTGGGGAAGGCATCTGGCTTGTCTAAGCAACAGAAGACAGTTGGAGAATCTGTTAAGGATGTGGGTCTTACAGCCTGTGGGCCATGAGAGAACTTGGGGTTTTACTCTTGGGTAGGATGGGGAGCCATTGGTGTTTGCAGAGGAGTGGTAGGAAGAGTCACTCTGTCTTCGTTACAGAAACAAAATTGTGTTACAAAAACAAGGTATAAAGGGATTTTTACTGACATCACTCTTGCCTCCCTCTAGTCGTGGTTCCTGATTAAATGAGCACTTGACCTGAATACCCTACACTACAGGATAGTCGTAATGAATTCCTCTGGCAAACCTGCTCTCCATTTAGAGAAAGTTAGCGGCGGTTGCTCTTAGAAGTCACACCACATGGGAAACCAGTCAGGGAATGGTGCTGCAGGGGATGTGACAGTTGGGACCAAGCCTCGGGGTGGGTTCTCAAGTTTAGGGGAGTGAGCATTTCAGTCAAGATGTGAACATGAACAAAGGTGTGGAGATGGAGAAGACACTGACTTACTGGTCAAGGAGGCAGGGGAGTGAGCAGACAGGAGCCTGTGGTGGATGTGGTCTGAAATGGGCCAAAGGGATCCCAATTTGAACAAGATTTCCTGAAACCATACTCACTGTTGACCCTGCTACCCCACCCCTGCTGTGTGAACTATAAAATTTCCTAGTGGCCACACTTAAAGCAAATGGAAATAGTTCACATGAATGTTAATTTTTAAAAATTTATCTTTATTGTTAAAAGTATTATAATGGCCCTAGCTGGTTTGGCTCAGTGGTTGGAGCGTTGGCCTTCGGGCTGAGGGGTCCCAGGTTCGATTCTAGTAAGGGCACATGTCCGGGTTGCAGGCTCAATCATCAGTAGAGGGCATGCGTGAGGCAGCCAGTCAATGATTCTCATGATTGATGTTTCTGTCTCTTCTCCCTTCCTCTCTGCAATCAATTAGAAAGTATCACAATGTCCCCTCTTTTCCTCCCATTGATCTCCACCCCACTGACTGTTAATTTTTTAACCTATATAAACATTAATGAGATTTTGCATTCTCAAGTCTTGAAATCTCATAAGTAGTGTATACAAACCTCACTTTGGACTAGTGGCTGCTGGACAGGGCAGCTCAGATCTTTCATCTTGCTTTCCCGTGGTCATAATAAAGTTGTTTTTTGCTTCTGTGGGCCATTGTGTTCTTTACCTTTTAGTTCTTCATTGAGCTTCCTTGTAAGCTAGTTGCTAACCTGAAGCATGTAGTGATGGGAAGTGGTGGTCAGGGCAGCCTTCCTGGAGGAGGCAGTAGTTTGGACTGTGAGATTAGAAGGATGACTTAAGGAAGGCTGCCCTGGGAGAGGGAGGGGGCAGAGTGGCTCAGAAGGTGTAATTCACTTGTACTTCATGGGGTCTGTTTGCTGACATGGCTTTCCCTGCAAGAGTGGGTTGGGTGACTTACCTGCAGTGGATGGGACCGTGTGATGAATCTGAACTGGTGTTTCTCGTTCCAGCTGGTGCTGATAAGAAAGCTGAGGCCGGGGCTGGGTCAGCAACCGAATTCCAGTTTGTGAGTATTCCTTCCCTGTTTGCTATCCATGAGCAGTCACTGTTATGGCCTCAGCCCTGTGGGTCCCACCCCTCATTCCCCGCTCTCCCCCCAAACCCCACAAATCCCAAATAAGGTTTTTACATTAAGACAGATGGAAACTTTTTTTAATACATAGATACTGCATTGAGTCTCACAGATCAATACTACATGTAGCATAGTTGTCTTTTCTATTTCTTTTGTAATGACCATATCCCTTTAGTTTCATGAACCAAAACTTACGGTTGAGACTCTATCACTGTTGAGTGGGCTCTAGAACCCAGGTGGACTAGAACCAAATCCTCTATTTTCCTTCATTTGGTGTGATCTGTGTCCCAGTTTCTCACCTATAAAATGGAGGTGACGATTGTAGCTATCTCAGGGTGATTGTGAGATTAGGTAATCCAGGTCAAGTGCGTGTGTGGGGGCTGGGCTCTCACTGGAACAGCAGCTGCCCTGTAGCACAGTGAAGGGGGGCGGGGGTGCGGCAGACACAAGATCTTGTCCGGTGCTGTGGCTTCTATGTGTGTAAATGTGAGCACACTCTAGAGTGAGTGTCCATATTCCCGTTTTACAAATGAGGAAACAGTCTGAAAAGTGATTGTGGCCCTCTAGCCAATAGGGCAAGGCTAGGGCTTAGGACTTGCACTCTGAGGGGAGCCTCACCAGTGATGAGGAGGCCTGCTGTTCCGCTTACTGCTAACGCGATGTCCTGTGCTTTCTCTTACAGAGAGGCGGATTTGGTCGTGGACGTGGTCAGCCACCTCAGTAAAGTTGGACGGGTTATTTTGTGTTGAATAAACTTGTGGTCAGAAAACAATGTTGTGTGCTCCTGTTTTGTTTGCATTATGGAATGTAAATGGGGCAAGACTGGATTGGTTTTGGGAGTTGTCTTATCCAGGGTGACATCACTTGTTGCTGTAGGACTTGGCTTTGTCTTGGGCTCTCTTTGTTCCAGCAGACACCTCCCTGCAGAGTCATGGCCAATGTGGTTACCATTTTGGGAGGCTGTTGGAACGCTGGACGTCTTCACCAGACCAGCCATGCTGGCTCAGCTCCGTGTGGTGGGAAAGTTGCGATTTTGTTGGTCTTGGAACTGAGATTCTGTGCCTATTTGGGAATATCAGAAGTGCTGGGGAGGTAGGATGTAAGAAAAACCAGGGGAATACTGTTCCATGGTGTTCGGGCATACAGTGTGCTAATCTCAACCTTAAAGGCTTCGGGATTTACATGTCGAAGGAGGAAACAATGACTTGAGAGTGTACAAAAGCATCTGAAGGGGACTGTCCAGCCGGTTGAAGACCTGGGGTCTTTGTCATTCCAGAATCAGGCAGTTGGAGTTCTTGTCCTGGGGTGCCTTGGAAAGGGGGTGCATTGTCCAGTTTTCCTGGAGCCTTAGTGAGAGATGACGAGAAGGGTGCTGAGCATTTTCCCTTGGGGCGAAGTGGGATTTAAGTACGGGGAGTCCTGGCCAAGTGGCTCAGTTACAGCATCACCCTGATAGACCAAGGTTGTGAAGTCAATCCCATAAAAGTCGGCACATAAAAGAAGCAACCAATGAATATATAAATGGAACAAGAAATGGATGTTTCTCTCAAAAAGAAAATGATGGGACCATTTCTGTGGTCTTGCGCTGCAAACAGCACAGTGTCAGGAGCGGGTGGTAAAGGTGCAGTCCCATGAGCTTGGACAGAAGCACAGACAGATTTGCTGTGTGACCTGCCTTTGGCTTGACTTGCAGGTCAAACCCTGACTAGTTGAGTGCGGTATAACGTGCTTCCTAAGCGGGGCTGAAAGCTTTCAAGGCAGCCAGCAAAACGGGCAGCTGAAGTGGGTCTTTGGGGGTTATGTTTCTTGGGTACAATATTACACAAGTGAGATGTCAAAAATCCTACACAGGTGATTTCGTCTTGGTAGCCACCTATTTCAGTCTTCAGAGGCGTTTGTAATTTAGACCACAAGGTGGCAGCCAAAGGCAGCACCAATTGTGCACTTAAACTTGGTCCTGGGAGGTGTGCTTTGGAATCGGAACCACCAATAGGCAGAAGCTTGCTTTGGCAGAAAGGTTGTGTTTGGGGAAGCTGTTTCACTGCTGCCTTGCCAAAGATTGCTTTTTATCCAATTTTTCTGCTGGCTCGAGTGATGTCAGGTGGTTTGCCGGAGTTCACACCGTGATTGTTTAACCTGGATTCCATGTGAAACAGCAGCTCCTGGCCTTTCTGTTCACGCTGAGGCCAGCGAGCAAGTGGATGGGTTTTCTCAGCCTTGGTGACTTTCTGGTGCTAAACATCACTTTTTCAACGAGCGCTCTTCGCCAACCCCTTCCCTCGTGATTTCAATTAGTTCCAGAATGTGTTCTTCAAGATCTCCCACGGACGCTGGGAAAACCCGGAGGATCTACAAAGTAGAGGCAGAGCCTGTGGGTAAAAACATACACATGGTGGTGGCTCTTGCTGCCTGCCAGCCCTTCCTCACATTTTGGTAGATTGAGTGGCCCCTGCCAATCAATAATCATTAATTAGCTGTTCAGGGATCAGTGCCATTAAGTGCCCTGGAAACAAGCCTCGAAATTGGCCTTCGAGAACCTCACCGTCTAGTTAGGAAAACAAAGCCAAAGCTATACCTTGAGCCCATGCCAAATGCTACATAAGTATCATGTCCAGGCTGGATTCTGAGGAAGGGTAGGGCAGGGGCCATGAGCGAAGGCTGGAGTGAGGAGCAGGAGCGGGAGACAAGTCGGCATCTTAAAGAGGTTTCCTTTAAAGTGGTATTGGGTCGTGAAACTGATGCCAGACATGAAAGTTGGTTTTGTTTTTTGTTGTGTGTTTTTGTTATTTTAAAAATATATTTTTTTATTGATTTCAGAGAGGGGGAGAGCTATAAACATTAATGATGAGAGAGAATCTGACCAGCTGCCTCCAGCACACCCCCTACTGGGGATCGAGCCCGCAACCCGGCCATGTGCTGTGACGAATCAAACAGTGACCTGGTTCATAGATTAACGCTCAACCACTGAGTCACACCAGCTGGGCTGTGTGTGTGTGTGTGTGTGTGTGTTTAGTAAAGCTAGGAAAAACAAATGTTTGCTATTAAAAGTGCCTGAGAAGGTCATGTGGGGCACGTGGGTTGTGAGGGGCACAGAAAGGCCCACTTGGGCACCTGCATGGGCACGTTGTTGGACAAAAGCTTTTGGGGGAGTTTTGGCCCATCTCCCAGGGCTGATCTCCAGGCTGGTAGCTCACTAGCTAATCCCTACCCCCACTACTACCAGCAAGAAAGGCATCAGGATTTAAAGGAATTTTGGAAACTGACAGCTGAAGATGCATTTTCATAATTTAACAACTTCCCAATATGGACACAAATCCCCTTTCCCTGAAAAATAGATTCCTCTTATAGGCAGTGCCAATAGCAGCTTTGAGTCTGTGACTCTTGAAGTCCTACTTCCGTTTTGTTTTGTTTTTTAATTGATTTTAGAGAGGAGAAACATCAATTTATTGTTCCACTTATTTATTCATTCATTGGTTGATTCTTGTATGTGCCCTGTCCGGTGATCGAACTGCAACTTTAACATATTGGGACAACACTAACCAACTGAACTACCCAGCTAGGGCAGCCCTACTTCTGTTTTGATGAATTTGGTAGACCTTCAAACAGCAGCTACCATGTGCCTATGTCAGATGCTGAGAGACAGTGTTTTTGAAAAGGATGTATCTAACCCTAAAGACAGGGCCCACTACAACACTCCCTACACCAGGCACCGGCCTCCAGCAGGGCAGTTGGGCCCATGGGGCTAGGAATTCCCCATTCCTACCCTGGGCTCCAGAAGCCAGGTCTGTTAGCGAAGCTAAGAGTAGCCCAAACTTCTCCAAGATTTGGGGATGCAGTTGGTAGTGGCCCCCCAGCAATGGGGGCGGGGGCTTCTACCACTTCTGCTGTAAGCTGAACCCTTGGGATGGATTTGTCAGTCCTTGTACGTCTTACCTGGAAGGAGTGAGGTGGGAGAAAGGAGCCTTGCTAACAGCACTCAGTAGGACAGTTGTTTCTAAGCCCACAGAAGAGGGAGACCCTGGTTTAACCCCTTTGTCCTGGGACAGGTTGGGCTGTTTCCAATGAGGGTAAAGCTCTGTTGTCTCAGCGGCAGGGTCAGCCATCTAGGTGAGAGGTGGATGGCCTGTTTGGTTAGGTTTTCAGGACGAGGACTCGATCTTAGGATGCTGAGGGAAGCTGGCGGTCTGGGAAAGAAGGTGACTGGGCTGCGGGGGGCAGGGGGGGCAGAAATGTACCATCCTCCTGCACAGCCCTCCCTCGGCCTTGCCCCAGACTCCGTCAACTTCCCGAGAGGTCCCTGGCCTCCAGCTTTGCCTCACTTCCAGCTGCTCTCCATGAGGCAGCCACGGTTATTTTTTGGAAACAAAAATATGAACAAGGTATTTCCCAGCTTAAAGTTCTTCAGAAGCTCTGTATTGCCTTCTAGAGTCTTTTATTATTTTTTCCTATTGGTTTCAGAGAGGAAGGGAGAGGGAGAGAGAGAAACATCGATCAGCTGCCTCCTGCACGCCCCCTACTGGGGATCAAGCCCGAAACCTGGGCATGTGCCCTTGACCAGAATCAAACCTGGGACCCTTCAGTCCATAGGCCGACGTTCTATCCCCCGAGCCAAACTGGCTAGGGGCCAGTTTAGGGCCTTCTAGAATGTTTTAGAACCTAGACAAGTGCAAAACTCCTTTCATGGCCTAACAGGTTCATCACAACTTCCCATCTGCCTACCAAAGCAATGCTCCAAATCCAGAGTCCAGCTAAACTGGCTCACGCTCTTTCCTGGCTTGAGACTTCTTTGCACACAGTGTTCCTTTTACAGAACCTCTCCCACCCCCCACCCACATGGAGCTCTTACTCATTCTTCATTATTCAGGTTAAATATCACCTCTAGGAAGCCTTTGCTGACAGAACTGCCCCTACTTCAAAGTCCAGTCAGATGCCCCGCCTGTTAGTGCCTGCAGCAGCTGAGCTTTAGCAGACTGTACTGGAGCCGATGGGCACTGTCCATTTCCTCTCGGACACAGCCTTGCTCTGGGGGCCGACTCAGTGCCTCACATGCAGTAGCTCCTTTGTAATTGTTAGCTGCATGAATGATGTCCCCTTCTATGCAAAAAGAAAAAAAAGTTTCGGCAGGCCTCAATTGGGAATGCAAAGTGACTGAGATGCATGATTGCTACGGAGGTTCTGCTAGAATTAGGGAAGGCAGACCTAGAAATGTACGCTAAGTGGTAGGTGGTCTAGTGGCTATAGCTGGAGTTTTATTGGTGACTTGTGGGGCAGAGGTGAGCAAAGACTATCCAGGGGAAAGCCTCCCGCAGTGGGTCACTGGCACCATCTGAGCTTAAATCTTTTTTAAAAAATACATTTTTATTGATTTCAAATAGGAAGGGAAAGGGAGTGAGAGAGAAACATCAATGATGGATGAGAGAGAATCATTGATTGGCTGCCTCCTGCACATCCCCTACTGGGGTTTGAGCCCACAACCGGGCATGTGCCCTTAACTGTAATCGAACCTGGGACTCTTCAGTCCGCAGGCCAATGCTCTGTACACTGTGCCAAACCAGCTAGGGCTTAACAGTTGGGACTAAAACAGCATGAAGCAATAATGATGGCTGGGCCAGGAATTTGTGTTATTTTATTTTTTATTTTTTTCAGTTTTATTGAGGTATAATTGACATAAAATTCACATATGTAGAGTGTACAATGTGATAAATTTTGTCATATGTGTGCATCCATGAAATCAAGATAATAAACATAACCATCAGTCCAAAAGTTTCCTTC